TCCTGTAACACATACAAACCAAAGCAAGTACAAATAAAATTTTATTTAAGCCTGAAAGCAAAGGATGTTCTGCAAACATTGCAGCTATTCTTTGCAGCTATTCCTCTTTCTATTATGGAAGCTTTGCCTACACTTCTTCCATTGATTTGTTGAATCCCATAAAGGGAGAATGGTTCCATTCCCACTAGAAGATGGTTAGACGATGGATTGCAGTTGATGTTTGTTTATTTCAGAAATAAACAAAGACTCAGTTTGTTTACAGGATACCCAGAGACACGTCCGGAGATACCAAATCAAGAGAGAAACAGCATAACGAATGGCTGAAACCAATGAGGCAGCCCTTTTCCAGATTTCTGGAATCTGCAGTAGGAGCCAAACAGCTCACCAGGACACAGGCCAGCTAGGGTCAGAGCGGTAGGACAACTATTTGGCATGTCAATTAAATTACAATAGAGCAATCGTTGTCACATATTCTGAATCCTAGAAGGGCTTTCAAGAGTAACACAAAAGCAGTTGTGGGAATTAAACTGTTAGAGAACAGGGTGATCAGAAGTCTGCTAAAACCTGCATGGAGCAGTGGTGAAGATGATGAGGACTGAGGCCCTCTCCTCATCTCAGTCACTGTGAACACGCATCACTGTGACTTTGTTTTTGCCAAAATTCACTGCCAGACTCTAAAAGCTGCCAAAAGAGAAAACTGTCCAGACATTTTATTCAATTTTAGGAAGGCTTCGGTTGTGACAGTTTGCATCTTCAGCAGTCATCATTGGTTTGTTTGTAGTTCACACTTTTTATCTGAAAAGTTGGATCGCATACTTAGTGTTCAGTGAACAGCAGCCCTACATAACCAACCAAGATACTGCAAGTGACTTGTTTGCTATTTTTCATTTTCTTTTTTCAAGTAATGTAAGAATTCAAACCAGTCCAACACAGAAGTGATAGCCATAGAGATGACTCACTAAAAAAAAAGGCCATCTCAGGAGAGAGTACAGATAACTTTTATTATCTTTGGGAAAAAAAAAAAGAGCATTTACATCATATCTCTTTCACCTCTGAATTTCAATAAATCTCCTCATCTACCCTTGCCTGTAGTAGAGTCAGGCAGGGCTTTGTGACTGCTGATTCCTGGCTGTTCCTGCTAGGCAGCAAACAAGGAGAAAGTGCAGTTAGAATAAATGCTAAGAGGCCCTAAACTGTAGGTGACCAGCTCTTATTTTATACCAAGCTGATCAATTGCGAGGAAAAAGACCTTAGAAATTGCCAATACCAAAGTATTTGGCCACGTTAATTTGGCAGCTACAAAGATGTTAGCAGCAACTAATGAAAACGTGCTTGTGTAGGCCTTCATGGGGAGCAAAGTTGCTACTCACTTATAACAGGAGTTCCTCAGCACAGGGTGCCCGTTCTTGTTGATAGGGCAGTTCTGTGGAATCACTTGCAAACTACTCAGTGAATGTAAAATAATAGGAAATTCTGTCTAGGTAAGGAGCCACAGCCCCGTTACCTCCTAACACAGGGAGTTGGTTATTCTTTACGTGAATGAGCACCTGAGAAAAATGTTTGGCAGGTTAATTATATGACGGAAATCATTTTGTTCTTTAAATAAATACTTGAGGTGAGAACAAAGAGTAGTTTTTTTCCTTGTGAGAAAGCAAGAAGGAACACACTCTTTTACTCCAGATATTATTCTGGTAGTTTTAGTAGGTAATTAAAAAGTGGGAGAAGCAATCCCTCAGTGAGAGGGCAGAGCCTGAGTAGGAGATTACGTTCCCATGATCCCTGCCTCATAGATAGCTGTAAAAAGCCTCGAAGTCGTATAGTGTATATTGTGTGTAAACACAATCCCATTCAGTTCGTTTGTGGCAAACTGAAATGGCTGCTTTGAGGTCACAGCAAGCAGATTGTTTCCTGGAATGTGTGAAACCTGGTGCACATCCTGTAAACAGGATCTGCCTCCGGATCCGTGAGCGCTCTGGCACACGCTGCCAGCCACGAGGAACGAGAGAAAGTAACACGGAAAATAACTGCAGAGACACCCAGAACGGTGAAAAAGGTGTGAACACTATTGACCTTACCCATGCTGGGAAAAAACAAATATCATTCATTTTGTCTCTTTCTGACTTTATTTTCTTTATGCTTTGGATTAGGTGAAATGGGAAGAAAAGAATAGACCAGTTCCTCAGCCGCAAGGCAGTGGAAACCAACTGTCTTCCTGCTTTCAAGTACAACTTCAGTCTTTTTGCATTATGACTTCCAGCAAACAGCTGTATTTCTAAGGAAAAAAAAAAAAAGAAAGAAAGAAAAAAGCAAAATCTCCATTACTTACGTCTTCAGTTTGTGTTCACTCCTGCTCCCATTGCAGGTTATAGTATCTGCTCACCAAATGCAGGGCTTCGGAGGGTGTGCTGAGCTTGCCTGAGCGCTCCAGCTGAACGGGCGTCATGAGATTCCTTGGGTTTAGGTTTCTTTTTATTCCCTACCTGCCTTCAGGGGGAAACTGGGAGAGTGTTGGTTAGGGGAGGGACAAAAAACTCTTAATTCAATGGCAAACCTCTGATACTATGGTACGGTGGGTGTCCTGTAGACAGGAAGGACCCACTTCAATGTAGTTACTTTTGAAATTAAGTTTAAGGGACTCTGAGATCCCTCCAATTGAGTGGTATAGCATTTATAAAATTAAAACCACTGGAACCATCAGTTCAGGCACTGCATAGCAGCGTCTGTTGAGAAAATGAGGAAGCAATTCCTGTTATCCAGAGGTGTCTGACCACCCTTTCAGGGCTGTGAACATTGACCTAAGAGATTACGTGTGTCATTTGCTTTGAATATCCATTGGAATCCATTACCGGGAGAGCTTTCCCCTGGCACAAAGCTTAGGAGAAAAAGGGCGCACGCATCAGGTCTGGGTTCGTGGCTCTCCCTGCCCTCAGCGAGCCCCGCCAGAGCCTGCGGATTGATCCAAGCGGTGACCAGCGCCACAGTGTTATGGATCATCGGGCTCCCTGGCACAAAGCTTAGCAGAAAAAGGGCGCATGCATCAGGTCTGGGCCTGTACTAATTGCTCTGAGCATTTTAACAGAACATTTTCACTTCATAACTAATCTTGAAAGACTAGGAGAGACTCAAAAAGGTACTTGGCTTCAAAGATGGTCTCCCACTGGAACTGGCTGCACTAACACCAGGGGTCTTCACAGCACTGATCGCTTAAGACTTACCCTCTTGCTAATCCCTCCAGCACTGACACCTTCTACAGGATCTTGGTGTCTCTATAGCCTGAGAAAGGAAAACAAACTCAAGCAATCTAGCCACAAATCCAAACCCGGGCTGCCAGTGCCTCCTGAATTAAGAGGACTTGATGTTTCTGTGGCACTTGTGAGGAGTTACTGCAGAGCAGCCCTGCAGAGCGCTGCAGAGAGACTGCAGCAAACCCTGCCCCGCGCCTGCGGGCCCTGCCTTAAAGCAGGGCACCTACCTGCTGCCTCGAGGCGTCACCAGCAAGGCAGAGCATGACGTGAGGGGTCCTTAAATTCTAACAACCCCCCCTTTTAGACCTAGCAAATAACCTGTAAACTCACACCGAAATAAGGAAACTAATAAACAGCTTAAAGAAGTATTATGAATAAAAAATTCAACTGTCTAACGTGAATCCCAACTGAAATCTTAATACAGCACCGAGCCTGTAAGGGATGTTGCTGTCCCACAGCGCTGCCTGCTCCCAGCACAGGCAGAACCTGCAGCATGGACCTGTTTGCAGCAGAGCCTGTTCCTGAGCACTGGCAGCAGCCACCTCTTGGTTCAGATGCCTGGACTGAAATCCCAAGGAGAAATCCACTATCCACTTCTTGTGTAATAATCTTGCCCTGGCATTTTCTGCAAAGGGGCAAATTTCAGCCTAGAGAAAACTGGCAAGGAGACTTAACTTTGTGATGAGAACATACTCATTTCAGCTGGGTTGTATCCCATTTTCTGAGAGATCTGCAGTATAATCTACCAAAACAGAACAAAATCTTAAGGCCTGTGTAATTGAACTTGTTCACTGAACTGCTTGGAGCTTAGAACAAAATATCTAGATATTTGAAAGGTTATTTCTTCAGTAACATTTTACATTGTGTATATCTTTCTGCTGCTAAGAAAGATCATCTTTGTAAAAATGCAAAACTGAAGTGAGATTTTATAAAAATGTTTGGAATACCACAGCTGTAAGAATATTAACTTTGAGTTGAAAATGTAACTAGAATAATCATCAGAATTACAGTTCTTACTTCTGGCCTAGGAAAAGACAAATATGTATTTATATAAACTATTCAATAAGAAAACAAAAATACATCTGAACAGGTAAAAATGGACCATAAATCTCATAAAGCTTATTTTTTATAGAAGTTTACTTTTCAAAAAAAAGAACAACCTTTGAGGGAGAATTGCATCATCTGCAGAGACAAGAAAGATTTGACAAACTAGAAAACAATGCAAAGCTTCTAACATTACAACTTTATAGAGTACATATCATGTAAGATGATCTTTGTGGCTTTTTTCCTCCACACAGATTTAATCAATCTGTCTTTGTTCTCTGAAAACAGTACTTTCATTTTGTGTTATCCTTATGCTCTAGGATCTTGCATAAGTATCTACTATGTGTAAAACAAAGGAGAGAAGTTTCTCTGCACAAAGGAGCATCTCAGCCCCTCCCTCAACGAAGTGCATGAGTTCGACAAACTGCAAATGGTCACATTTCCCGCTTTAAAGTTAGTGCATATGCTCTCCTATGCGACTTCTTATAAAGCCAAAGTGTTCAGTATGGTCCCAGACATGCTTTTCCAGCTTCCAAGTGAATATATATGTCTCCGTCCAGGCTAAGAAAAATATCAGTCTTTTCTTTTGCCTATATATTCACTTCTCTGATTTCTTCCTTTTAATTGAGAGTCTGATACATATATAGTACACCCTTTCTCCACAGATTTTCTCCAGTTTTAAATCGTTTGAAAAACAAATGTAAAATTGACAGGACTATCAAGAACACATCTCAGGCACTAGTTCCTTCTGTTTCGGGAAGACTGATGGCAGGCTCTTTGGCTTTAAATTTAATAGATTTGAAACCTCTGTTTATATCTTTATTAACCTGGATTATTGCGAAGTGCAAACATCTTCTATTTCCATCCTTTAGTTGTTTTTCAGGTCTAAATACCAAATACTTACCTAAATAGGAATACTTGTTTTAAGCCAGCTCCCCACTTACTTACCCACATCAGCATCTAGGACAGGGATGAACTGACAGTGACCCTTTGAAGTTTTTCCATTATTTCTTCATTGCAAGTTAGAAACATCTTTCTCAGGGAAAGAATAAAGTCCTCTTAAAGGTTTAAATCTTTAAAAGGTTTAAAAGGTAAAACCTTAAAAGTTTGCATTTGCTTTAAGCTAATCTGTCTGTATTTAACAACAACAAAAACGTGAAAAAGCAAATGGAACAAAACTATGTAAGAATGATGATTATTTTGAAAAAGCAGAGGGAACAAGATAATCAGAAAAGAAAAACATCTAATGGTAAAAGTTTGATTTTCCAAATTTATACACATACATCAAAATGACTTTTTTTTTTCCTTTTCATTCGACTCAATAAAACCTGCTCCAGCTTTCAAATTAAAAAATAACACAAAATGCAGAAACACTCTTCTCTGATTTACATGATATAGCTGCTGAATAAAGACACACAGTCTCAAGCCAGAAGAAAAACAAAAGTGTCCTTCTTTTAAATGCCCCAAAAGCAAACAGCTCCTTTCTATTTGCAGAGATCCAGATCTTCCACAGGGTTAGGGCACTTTTTTCCATGAGCCCTTTCTTTGGAGAATCCCTTTCCCTGCAGTGGGCACTGTGTGATTGGGGTAGCGGGGCAAAGGCTCTTCTGCCTGCACATTACAGGTGACGGGTATTAAAGCCAGTGCTTCACCCAAGCTGCCCTTTACCATATATATCAGTTAATTACTTGTCTTCAGAAACTTGCTATGGCAAGATGCGATGGTCAGAATATCTCAAATGTATCATAAACTAAAATTAAACATCTAAATCTGTCTTTACGTTGGAAACTATGAAGCAAACCTCTTTACCGCTACTGTGAACGCTGGAAGCAACGGGCACGTCCTTCCCGAGCTGCACCCGTGCCAGGTTTCCACGGCCGGCTCCTGTCAGCGTTAATGAGCCAGAATCAGGCTTCAAAGCAGGGCTGCTGTTTTTGTAACCCAGAAGCACTACAAAAATAAAAGCAGGAAAGGGAAAAATCTTGTGACACTAGAGATACAATCAAAAAAGTTTAGATAACACATAATCCTGAAGAGACAAATTAAAAGTTGTTGCTTTTTTCTCAACATGTATTTGTACTGTTTTACTGTTTATATTCAGACTCATGAAGAGCGTAACTGAACATTTCAGGCAGACATCACAGAACATACCATTCATGGAACAAACGACTGTTGAATTACATGAACAAATTAACACCTACTAAAACATTGGGTGGTTATAGCGATATTTTGTCCATGACTGTCAAAGTCCAATCTGTTTCTTAATACAATACAGCTTTTTGAAAGTTTTTGCTGTAAGAATCCAACCACAGAAATTAGTTGCATGCTTTGCTGTGTGCAAAGCGTTTAAACTCCTTTGTTAAATATTCTGTTTGTTTTTGCCATAATTCTCAAAGAAACAATTTATTCCAGGTGGCATCACCCAAAAGCCACGTTCCTTGGCAAAGCCTCACGGGTGTCCATAAGGCCAGTTCTGTAGAAACAACTTGTTACCACATGCCAGAAGTTCTACATCTAAAACAACCACCCGGCTTCGCAGTGGGCAAACACAGGCCCAGCCACCCTGTCCTGCTCCCCGTGCAGAACCACGTGAACTGCCCTGAGCCTCAGCGCAGGCCCAGGAGAAAATCAGTTTGATAAGGAACTATTTCCTTCCCTGTAATTATTTCAAGACTGATCCCTGGTGAGCGTTTAGCCCCGTGTGACTACAAAGGGTTCAAAACAGCTCACGGACACTGCAGAGTGTGCTGAAGCCAAGACACGCATCAGCACCCAGCCAGGCCCTTGCCCTGTCCTCCTTAGTGTCTGCTGAGTTCAGCTCCCCTGTTCCGTTGCCCATGGAAGACAAAACTATCCCCAAAGGCTTCTCAGCTGGTTTATGTGGCAGTCCTTTGGTAGTCATATTAGCTAATTAATGAAAACACTAGACGAGGCATTTTAGCACGGGTTGGATGTGGAGCGCAAGTCTTTGCTGGCTTGATCAGACTCATCTTCCCTGCATTAGTGTTTTCATTAAGCTGCTGCAGAAGTTAAGTGTGAAGCGCGCAGGGGAAACCCATCTGCCACGCGGTGAGGGGCGCAGCATGTGCTCTGGGGACGTCTGATTTTCCCAGGGTCATTTACTGGGATTTACTCCCACAAAACCCTCACAGAAACCGGTAACCAGTCTGCCCTAGAGCCGGCAGCCAGCCCTGCCCTACAGGAAAAGCCTGGAGGAAAGGAGGGAAAAGGAAGAGCCCGGCTGCGCCAGCCGCTCCTCTCGCATCCTCCTCCTCCCCCACCCCCCATTTCCGAACACCCTGCAACACATCCAAGAAACGTTAGCGGCATGGATGGAAAAGCGCAGAACGGCTTTTCCCCCTCCTCCCTGAAAATCCCAATTATTTGCAGTTCTTTTTTTTTTTTTTTTCAATTCTGCTTCTCTTCAGTGTTAACGTGCAGCTCACAGATTTACACTCCCATATTAGACCTTATATTTCAATTCTAAGTGGTGAAATCACCTCACTTTTGTTTGAGGAATTTTATAAAATTCATTTTTTATGAGATGACAGTAAAAAAGAGGCATGGGCATATTTTTTTGTTAGTCATTGCTGGCAATATGTAGAAACTTGTCTTAAAGCAACATCTTTTCCCAGTCTTTTCCCTTAAATGAGACTTTTGTTTTCCAGTCTCCACGTTCTCAACATTTCTCAAAATAAAATTTGTTATTACAGCCTCCAAAATACAGTAAAAATTAGAGACTGTTCTTGTTATTCAATTGTTCCATTACCCAGCCTTCAAGATTTAAGTTTCAATATATTTTTGGAAATACTGAAATAAGATAACTTGGGTACATTTTTATACAAGCCTATTTGCTTTTGCATTTCTATTCAACGGTCTGTTTGACAGTACAAGACACCCTTGACAGCTCATAGCCAGAATACTAAGGTTAACAGCAAAAATTGATCTTTATCTAGAAATATGGAAGCAATTGTTTCTTGAACTGAAATGTCTCCTTATGTCCATTTCAGGCAAGGAAAAACAGAGGAAGAAAAGTAATTTGGCAAAAAAACCACCTTCGGAGTGAATGTGAACTCTGTGAACTCTGAACATTAGCCCCTTCAAATCAATGTAAGCATCCATTTATTTATAATTCTGTTATCTGCTTGTTCAAACAGCAATTCAGTCTATCTTTGCCTACCTAATATATTTTCAAAATCACAAACACAACAAAAAGAGAAAAAAAAATCTCTCAGAAGTTCCAGAATAAGAGTTTAACATTAAACTGATTTCCAGATTGACACAACCTGTCCATACACACTCTTCCCATTCTAAAACTGCAGTATGCAGCAGTTTTTATAGGTAGCTCCGTATTATGAAGCGTTTTGAAGATGAAATACAGTCTTGTAGATAAAAACATAAATTGAGTATCCTGGCGTAAAGCAGGAACTTGAGAGAGGAAAGTTATCTCGTCTCTGTTAAGAATTTCCTCTATAACCTTTAGCAAATCACTTTATCTTTCTATGCCTTCATTCCCCATATTTAAAACAGGGTGTATTCTATCCAGGAAGATAAATCCTGTCATATGTCATATTTTTACAACTAAAAGACATAGAAAACTCTCTAGCTAAGCCAACAAAACATTTCTTGCAAATATTAAAGATTTTTCCTTTATCCAGAATAAAACTTCTGAAAACATTCTCTGTCACTGGGTCATACCTGTTAAGCAGTTTAGTTCTTTTATGTAAGTGATCATGTTGAGTCCACAACTTCACCTTTTTAAAAAATGGCTTTACAATTTTACAAAATATCTATGAAAGTTCACCTTTAATCTATATTAAAAATATAATCTATAAAATCTTGTCTACAGCTTCTTACTGCATTATCCAGACAGAGATAATGAGAATCCCAGACCTAAAGCTCACGCCCCAATCTGAGGCTGTGACGTAGGTCATTTTTCACAGTGTCTGAGCAGACCAGGAAGAGCTCGTGTTTCACTGTCACACATTCTGTATGTGTGACAAATGATGACTGCTACACACATGTAACTTAAATGGAGATAAAAGTGCTATGGCAAACGCAGCCGCTGTGATCACTTATGTTCTTCGGATTTCAATCCTTTTCCTGGTACCAACGCATCCTTAATCCAAGTTTAGTAACTGCCACGTTGGCATGAATCAAAGAGGCTGAAGACGTCACCAAGCAGCACGATGGCCACAGAAGAGGAGCCAGAAGAGGAGCCTGACGGGGTGAAAATCCGTCACTCGCCGACACGAGTTTGGATTCCGAACCCAAGCGCGAGGGCTTCCATCCCAGAGCGGCGCCGCGCCAGGAGCTGCCCCAGGGAGGGCACCCGCGAGCGCCGCGCGCGCGCCCGCGCATCGACGCGAGCAACGGCCGCTCCGGGACACTCAGAAAATTTCATGCTAAGCACGAGCACTCTAGATTACATTATTGCATGTAATTGCATTTATTACGTGATTATGCAACAAGAATAAATAGAAGTAACTGATAGGAGAAGGCACATGGGGAAACTTCAGAGAGGAGAATAAGATTGAGACAGGGGAATGGGGGTATTTTTCTATCCTTTCCTTAAGAAATGAGAAAAAAAATCTTGTTAATTAAGGTGTTATTACTTTCTCATTTTACTCAACTTGAGATGATATCATCTACAATGTAAGCTTGCAAAAGTAATTTAATGGGAGAGTTTTTACAAATTTGACATTAACAGACACTCAAACATGAAACGCTCAGATCAAAAGTTACGTTACCTTTATTTAATTCAGTATTACATGCAGTCAGACACTGATTCACATTGCTCATTCACGCAGGAAACGGTTCTTCTTGTACAAGTAACACCCACTGCTCTCACGGTGAAATTCAGAAGCATGCGGAGCACAAACTGGTGTGCGAAGTTACTGCTTTGAGCTACAAAATTGCATTCAGGTCATGATCTCTAAACGAGTACTATACACACAGCGTCGCCCTGGCTTTGTGCAGCCACCGCACAGCTGAACACCGGCTTCCAGAGAGACTGGAGGTGCCCAATGAGTAGGGTGGAGGTGGATCAGGTGACAGTCGCAAACAGGAAGATTTGAAGCAGCGGCATAACCTTCAGGGTCGAAAGGTCAGCGAGCACAGCCTGAGGGAAAAACCAAAAAGCCTTGTTAAACCTGACATTTGAATCAAATTTCTTCAAAACAGCTAAAGTACGAAAAAGATTCAAATGCAGCCTACAACACGAACAATAATTAGGCTCTTTGGATCTGTCTGGATACAAATTGTGCTGTTTTGTGCTAGCATGAAGAAGTTTCTCTTGTCTTATTTTGTATTTTCAAGTTTCTAAGAGGAATATATATCTAGGTATATAAACCAAGTAACTTTATTGTAGCCTTTAGACTTTCTTCAAATATACATGGCATCATGCATGTGTAAGAGGTCTAGCATTTCAACTTGCTTCTAAATATAATTGGGAATTAAGAATCCTTATCCTGTGGCTTGGCTAGTACTTGTGAAGTAGGTCCAATGCACTGACTCAAATAGTCTAGCTCTTCTGATGAAAGCATGCTTTAGGGGTTAAAAAAAAAAATTCATCACAAGCCTTCAATGTTTGAAGAAATATATATCATCGTATTTTGAAAAAAATATATATTTCAACAAATTACTAGATATAAACCAAAATTATCTTCATCTTAATCAATTTATTCTCTTCACCTCGCAGCAAAATTTTAGGTACAATACAGATAAAAGTATTCCTGTAAAATCTTTATAATACCAAAAAAAAAAAAAAAAGTACTGGCAAGAAAGGCACAAATCGCCCCACCATTTTCAAAACGATATACCCCACAAACATTAAGCATTACACATTGAAGCACCTTGAAAAAAAAAAATGTACAAAGTGCCTTGGCAGCAGTGAGCTTCTGTAAGCAACGTAACCCTTTACACCCATACACCCCGGAGAAGCCGTGCTCTCCCCGCGGGTTTGAGCTGCGCTCACCTCGGCCGCGGCCAGCGACGTCACCTCCATGAGGTTCACGGCGCGGAAGGCGAACACAGCGGCCGCCAGCACTGCAAGAAGCGCCACAGTCAGAGCCCGCACGCCGGGACGCGCGGCCGCGCGCAGGTGCTGCCGGAACGGCCACGCCACCCCTCACCGCGAGTGTCTGCAGCTTGAGGATTAATATTGAATGGATGTCAGTGGTTGAGTTTCTTTGGCTGCCCTTTAGGAAAGGCAGGAACAACAGTGGATCCCTCTTGAAAAGTTTGAGTGAAAATGTTTGTCTTGCCTAGTATTTAATGACCTTCTAATCATTACTGATGACTTTTTAGTCATTATCATTGCAGTTTTTAATGTGTTTTTAGTGATTAGCTTTTAGTTAATCACTAAAGGTGATTACTAATCACTAAAGGGCAAGGTGATTTGAAATGCCTTTCTTTTGAGCCTTTATTTTGCAGTTATATAAGTAGCATTTTAATAGTATTTCAGTTATGAACAGTATAAAACACGAAATGAGAATGTCATTTATTTTATACTATCTAATGCCACAAAGTGTGCACATTGGGAGAACATCCTATATTCTGATCAGAGAGTGCTTAGCATTTTTGGAGTGCTATTGCTGCAAACAGTAACAACAAAGAACAAATATTATTAAAAATTACTTCATATATTTTGTTAGAGATGCAGTATACATGCAGTCTAGATGCAGTTTTATTTATCTAACATTTATTTATCTATCTCTGCTATCTGTTTTCAACATCCAAAGTCCAACTAAATTTTCTCCTTTTCACAAAATATATTTTAAGCTGCCTTATATCCATCTGGATTTAACATCTTTTGTAAAAGCAATTTCATTACCAGCAAGAATTTCTAGCGAGTTGTATCCTAGGATTCTGTCCCACAATAGCAGGAGCTGGTCTGTAGCTAAATAACCCGAAAATGCTCGAACCATCCACTTAAATGAAATTCGTAGCCTGCAAACAAGTGATAAATAATAATCGTTATATTTCTCTCCCTCAACATGATTACACAGATACTTTAGAACATTCTATTAAGTGAAAATCTTTTACTATATTTTTGAATTGCTTCCCCAGTGGGAATAGCCATCTTCTCTTGCTGTTCTCCACCTCCTTTGATAAAGCTCTAGCTGCATAAACTGATTTTGAGCAAACAATGACACTGGAGGGATTATTACCAGCCCAAACGTTTCACGCATTTCTGCTTTTATGCTCTTTCTATGAAAATCAATTATTATTCAGTAAAAATTTCTGATTCTGTTACACACCATGCCATGGCACTGAGGGCCATCAACGCACTACAGAGAATGACACTCTTGCTCTCTCCTTCCTCTATACCAGACCTTCTGCTGAAAACAGTGTAAAAAAGGAAGAGAGAAGAGTTTTCTGTCTCTTAGGAGGTAAGCAACGTTTTTTTGGACAAGGTCCATCAGATCTGACACGGATTACTGAAATTTAGCCAAAGAGTGTAGCACAAACACAAAGAACAACTCTCCTTCCCCATGCAACCGGCACGCAGCACGTCTCTGCAGGTTAGACACAGGACGTCGACTGACTTTCAAGGAAAAAATGGCACATCAATGTTTGCACTTCTGAAAAAATTATCACGTTTTAAATTAAAATGCTACAAAGGGGCATTTGCAGCAGAGTTAAGGTGCAACTTGAGTAGCAAGGCAGCAGCAGGTACTTACGGCTGAGCCCCAATTTCTCGAAGGTGATAGAACAGCTGGGGCAGATGGGTTTGTAGAAGAGTCTCAAACAGCAAACATAAGGACACAATGCCCTAATAAAACACGACCATATCCTCAATACAAATACTATTAAGACTGTAAAATCTCAGAAAACAGTATGCACACGACATTCATGTATTCTTAATTGAAGCAATAAAATTATCAATGATGTAATATACAGGCAAGGCAGATAGGGCCCGGAGCAACTCTAAATGCATCTTCAGCCACCAGGGCCTTGATCCTACAATGACACATGTGTGTCAGCAACATCCTCGGTTGTGATGGTCCCTTTCATCCCTAAATTACTCATGGGATTTGTCTGAGTACCTAGTGGCTTATTACAATATACTTAATTGCAATATGACTCGAAATATATCCACTCTAAGGAAGCACATCAGTTGCACTGCATATAAGCTAAAAAACTGAGCATGTGAGAAATAATTTGTATCCGACAACTAAAGACAAACAGCAACAGGTATAACTACAAAAAAAAAGTTAAAATTAAAAAAAATCATATATATACATATATATATATATATATACATATATATATATATACATATATATATATAAATTACCAAGAAAATGATTCCTGTCTGATCTGCTTCCCTGCCACTAATGACTCAAAGCATGTGCACACAAAGACACATCAGTTAAAGAAAGAGGAATTAATCTGAGATTACTGAAACTACACAGCAGATTACAGCCCAAGCCCTCTGCCCCAGAGCACTTAAGTGTGTCCTTACATGTCACTGATTAAAATAGCATTAAGTATGCACTTAAGTGATGTCTTGAATTGAGAAGTGTATTACACAAAAGACACTTGAAACAGAACAAAACAAAACAAAAACCCTCATAAAATCAAAATTGCATTATTTTAAAGTCCACAATATTCTATAGGCAAAGAAAGACCAACACTGAGGTAGAAAGCTTAACTATCCAAACTGAAGTTACTTAATATTCTCTCTAAGGTCGTTTGAAATATTATATTTAAAACCACGTATTTCAGTCATATAGAAAAGGAAAACCACATCTCTATGTATTATCATTCCACAGCAAACAGAGTATCAAGTGAGTGGGTTTTAATTCTCCAAGAACTTACAGAGGGATGAGAAGAGATGGAATGGAGCCTGAAGAAGAAGCGCACATACATCTCACGGAACATCTGATACAGCTTGGAAGGTTCGTGGTACAGAAAACAAAGTGGAGCCACTGCGAGGATTAAAGAATTCAATTGACTCAACACTGTACATTACTGAAAGAGTTCAAGGCTTAAGTGAAGTAGGAGGAAAAAAAAGCAATTTGTAGCAGCACGATCAGCAAAATAACTAACCAAGTATTTAGAAAGAGATGATTTATATCAGCTTCTGTCATTTAAAGTTAAACAAAGAGAACGACACATTCTAGGCAATAACTTGATGCATTTAAAGAAATGAAGCCAACTCGAGCCGGCTGCCTATGGCACTGGTCTCCTCAGCCTAAAGGACCAGTTCTGAGGACAGTGTCACTGGGCAATGGCAAGTTGAGTAATGCAAGTTTGGGATTCAACCCTCTCCAACCTGGTTCCCCATTTGTAAGACACAAATAATTGTAATTTTGTTTGAAAGTACGTGTTGTGAAAATTGAAATATATTAAAAAACTGCTTTGGGATGCCACAATGACATCACATGAGTGTGACTGATTGACAGAGAACTTTTTATTTGTTCTAAGATCTAAAAAACACAAGCGTTTTGTAGGTTACAACTTAGAAGGCTTTCAATATAGCTGACAATATGCAGGTGTGAAAAAAAGTGAAGAGTGTTGCTAGTGTTTATGTATAAGGAATGCAAGTGGAGATGGAGGAGCCAGCAGGGTGTGCATGTGCAGAAGGGCCAAGGGGCTGTGGGAAGAGGCCTGCAAGGCGCCTCGAGAAGCCACATGTTTGCAGGCAAACGTGACGAGGAGGGTCCCGTCGGGCCCTACGGCAGCGTGGGGGGCACCGGAGCTTCCCTCCCGGCTTCCCAGCCTCCCTGCCCCTCTCACCAGGACAGCCCGTGCCCTGATGGGGAGGAAGGGAAAGGAAGGTGGGAAGAAGCTCATGTCCGGCTGGGAGCTGCTGCTCCAAAAGGCAGGGTAAAATCCAAACATTCTGTAAAGCACTTGTTGAAAGTGAAGCTCCAGTCACACACGAAAAGTGAAGGACTCTTGGTCTCCTTCCTTCCAAACACTTAAGGAAGAGTTTGCAATCAAGCTGATCATCACTTCAAAGACTCAGATTCCCTAAAGGGTTCAAATTTGGATTTCAAATTTAAATGACTCCTGACCTTTCAAGGATCAAACAGGAGCGTGTGATCATTAAACTTTATTATTAGTGAACCATAGCATTTTAAATACCATCCTGAAATCCCACTGCCCCGTGACACGACAAATATTTTCAATAAAATGGAAAGCTGTAAGAAATGTGTTTGCATTCACCAAGTTTGCACTCAGCAGTGATAAGGCAGCTATAAGTGGTGTATTTTCTGCTCTGTTCCTAGAAATCCTGTCATTGCTTAAGCTTCCACCTTTGCAGTGGCACAGCAACCAGTCATCTGCGATTCCCTTGGCACCTACTCCAGTGAGGTGGATAGAGCAACAAGCCTTTCACAGACTTCACGTGCACATAGGGCCTTTCACAGCCAGCCTGAAGGCACAGGACAGGAGCTGGCACTGCCACCTCCCTCTATGCAGGTACCTCAAAACGCAGCGGGCCTGGAGCCCCTTGCTTAGCTCTTAACTCCCAGAGAAGGACCTCCTTCACGATGGCAAGTGATAATATAAACAGAAACAGGCTGGAATTTTTAAAAAGTCATCTACAGCAATCTTAATAGACAAAGAAAGCACACAAAAGTTTAAAAGTTGCAAAAAAGTATATATAGTTTTAAACTGAAACATGGTAAAAAGAAATCCTGAGTTATTACTTTGAAGTTTATATTTAAGTCACACTTACCATACATGGAAAAGCCATGGAAAGGAATTACACCTATTAAAAAGAAAGAACAAAATCTCTTTGTTTTTTCTCTCATATTTCTATTTAACCATGCAAAATGTATCTTTTTCGCCAAGTTTCTAAATTGCATTCTGCACACCACAGATATAAAACATTTCCTGTGTTACTGCACCTGCGGTCTCAGGTCTTGATCTTGCAAATATTTAAGTACAGGACTCGTATCGTGTACTTCAACACGACTGTGTTTGAGCACATGCTGCAGTTCCTACAAGAGCCCAGCACAGCTCCACACAGCCCTGTAAGCCTTGCTGAAACCAGAACCTTATTGCAGATAAAGGACAAGCGGAAAATACCATGTGCTGACAAGAAGGGTGCAGGAAAAAAAGGAGGCCGCGACCTCTAGTAATTCACGGAGTACTCAGATAAAACATTTAGAGGACTTGGCAGCTGGACCACGGCAGTTCTCTCCTTTTTCAAAGGATCTGAGTTCCCATTCATTAATTTTCATGCAGGATGGACCAGAGGGAGCTGTTCTGGCAAAAGGTCACGGGGAAAATGCTTCATCATTACAAAGCTGCAAGGGGAAAGTGCAAGGAGCTGGGGAGCGAGCGCATGTGTGTGGCTGACCCTGCTAGAAAGGGAACACCCAGGAGACAAGGTCACAGATACTGATTTAAGATTTTGCTCTTTTCAAGAGCAAAAAGCTTGAACTTTCAGTGCCATGCAAGAGCAGGGGAAGGACTGAGTACACAGAGGCGGCCAAGGTCAAAATAAAAACACAAAATACTTTTAGCAACTGAAGTAGCAGCAAGGTAAACGGCATTAACTTAAAATTAAATACACTTAGTTATGTTAGAATCCAAAAATGAATGCAAATGTCAAAAGGAAAAGAGAAGCAGTTTGCAAAACACTGAAAAGCAGGGGGTCAGACGGTTTCAACACGTATCGTTCAGCTCCTTTAAGTGACGATATATGAGCAGAATAGAAGCTGCTGCACCAGAAGTTGTTTCTCCTCTCCTTCCCACACGCTCAGACAAACTCCATATGTAGCTATTAACACTAGGCTGAATGTGGTTTTGGAGCAGCAAAAACAACCTAAATCAAAAGCCCAGTTTACTACCTTAAATTAACAAATTTGGTAGAAAAACAGTGAAACATAATCTGTAAGAGGAAAAAAAGTCAGTGTGTATATGTGGGGGGAAAAGAACAAAAAAAAATATCCTGCATCTCTCCAATCTACCACTAGAGGAGGCAATAGTGTAATTCTTACCACTTGGTGGATAAAAAACAGCATATTCTTCTATTCCAAGTTTTCCTGTGAATCATCAAACCACAATTAAAATAGAATCAAACTGTTTAATGGTGTGAAGATATACATTAAAAATATAAAATTTGTTTTGAGTGTCAATATAAAAATTATACCTAGTGACATTCTTGACATTTATTGTTGTCTAAAAGCATGCAGGCGATGCAAAAAGACAGATATAAAATTAAAAGGCAGCCTCAGTATGGGAGGCTGATGATCCATGATGTTCTCCATTGCTGTCAGTATTATGCTGTATTGTCAATATTCTATTTTTGATTTATTTGGAAAACAAGCAAACAAAAAAACGGATAAACAAAAAATAAAATAGAGACAGAAAACTACAGAAAAAGAACATCATGATAGCCTGGCCTTCATGCAATTTGTGAGGATAGTCTGTGCACATGGCAACTGAATAAACCACTTTGTTACTCCTGTTATTTTGTGTAGCCTACCATGTCATGAACATAAAGGAAATTCATATACCAGTTATAGCAGCCAGCAGTGGAAATCCATACATTCCTTTTTAGAAGAAGCCCCTTTACCTCGTATGTATGATTTAGGCGGCGTGGCGCTGCTGTAGGCGAAGTGCTCCAGCACAGAGGTGTCTCGGGAAAAGCAGAGCAACACCTGCAGAAAAGGGCACACAAACAGCAGCTGACTTAGCGGATTAATGAAACGGTGCTGAGCACAGACACAAGCACCTGGCTTGACTGGCACCTATTAGATGCGAACAGCTCCGGAACTTGATTGATTCCTCCCACTTCAAATTTCTGAGCTGGCTGCTACTATTTTATCTTCACGTTCATTTGTTGTCAGTATAATGTCCATGTTCTCCAACTCTCCTCTCTACCTCTGTGTGTGAATTTACATGCAGCTGCTATTCGGACTGTTCATTTGCCTATTCATTCCCTAAGGCTGATGGAAATCCTGGTAGATGAATAAACAAATGAAGAATGTATATTCTAGTAATTATGCAGACCTAAAAGCTGGCCCTTAAATTCTCACGCATTCCCAGAGGCTTTACAAAGTGCTTGCACTACACCAAGTTCTTTCAAAAACGACAGATCAGAACGTTCATCCTGCAATCATAAGTTCTGAAATGCATTTTGTGTTTTGCAACAATTTGGTGTGCTGTAATATATATTTGTATTTGTTTACTTCTATAAAGGAACAATCTTGTATTCACAGCAATTCCATATAAAATTAAAAGCATTCTTATAAAAACAAAAATAATGTAATCTTACATATAGCTGTATTACAGTATATATATGATGGTAATAATTAGTTTCATACTCTGAACACTCTAATGTTTTCACCCAATGAAAGACTGTGCCACCAGGAGCGCACACAAGAGGGCACAAACAACACAGTAAGAAGACGCGCTGTTGCCTCTGCACAACTCGCTCTTCTGCAAATTTTAGCACAGGGTTTTCAACTATACCCAAGGTGTAAATTGTTGAAGGGCTTTAAACGTTGTTTCATTACATATTTTCTTGTTAATAAAATGAAAAATATCCTTCAAATAATTATTGCAAACATAGCTCAGATGTCTGCATTTGTCAAGGAAACATGAGAGAAAAATTGTGATATGTGAACACCGCTCGTTAATTTTTTGGAATATTTTGAGACATTTTCCTTTTTTAAAGGAAATCTTAAAACTACTTCTTAGATACATATTTTTAAAAATAAATAGATTCTTATCTTGAACAGTTTAAGGTAAATATTTTTTTATGCAAGACGATCATTTTCACAGCTGCCAAAATATAACTGACAAGAACAATACACAGGCAAACATAATACTCTGCATCTCTTACCTCAGTTAACATATACTAATTTAAAAAGGGCATAAATTATTTTCTCTCAAAGGGGAAAGAATGTAACTGTAATACAAGATCCCCTTTCTAAAAAATACTGCATCCAGTACTGGTGTCTGGAAGGCTTTAAATTAAGACTAGGTATCTCTGTAAGAAGCAGACTACAGCTCAAACATAAATTATGACTCTGTGTAAAAACCATTGGGTGAGGCTCTTCGTATGCATTCGTTATGCAGGATGTAACATGAAAGTATCTGCACTGACCTTATATGAACTCTTCCTTTTATTTGCAAAAAGGATAATGCTAAAGAAAATGATATAACCCCCTTTTTAAGTATACAAATGTTTGGCAAACTATTGGATAACTGGAAAAATCAAAAAGAAAAATAAGGCACACAAGGAATGATACTAAGGAGGGGAAAAAGGAAAAAAGGAAAAAAAGAAAGCTTCTTCCCTTCATCCCCCGCAAATAAATGTTGTTTTTTGTTTTTTGCTTAGTTTATCCTCTAGATTACTGGCAAGAGAGTTTCACAAAAAACTCTAAAAGAAACAAACAACCCCAAAAATACCCTAGTCTGGTTAGGTGTGAATAACGAAATTGAAAGCACTGTGAAAATGTTAAGTTTGCTGCATGACATTATGTTGACATTGCAATCAACTACACATTAGGACATTCATAAATGTAATCTCCTTCTATTTAATGGCATCTAATGGGCAGCAAACAAGATAATTCTGTACAAATCAGCTTGTTTGCCTGTTGCCAGCAGCAGCTTTAGAATGCAGAGAATGCTGGAAGTAACCATACACATCATTAGCATAATCAGAATCAATGCTTTCAATTTAAATATATGCCATAAAATACCCTTCACTTTATTGTAGTAGACACTGTCAAGCAGTATTCCTATTTTTAATCTGGAATGCGAATATGTTTGTCAAGTCTTACTTTCATTCTATATCACAGCTTCTGTCAGTATTTTACTGCTGTAAAACTGAAAGAGGAAGAATACAGCTGGATTCATGTTTTCTGGCTCACTATACTGAAAAGACGCAGCACAGGAACCTTCAAAGCAGGAGTTCTAGAAGCCCACCTTGCTTCATGTCTCTAAAGGTTATTTTATTAACTTACAGTATTTATGTTCAGAAGGAAAAAAGGCATAGGTAATGCAGCAAACATAGATGCACCTCTCAAGAGTTCCACTCTATTCATGTGTCCACGCATGAAGCACAAAGGTGGTCCTCACTCTAAAGATTGTGTTATCCCAGAGAAATATACTTCCTAGCTTTTCTAAGGAAAAGTTTCCCAAGGAAAAATTTATAGCCGACTACATACCTGATATAAATAATCCTCAAATACAAAATAATAGTCATCATTGCTTGCTGTTAGCTTGACATCCTGAAATTAAAAATAAAGAGGTATAGCTGAAGTAGTTTGAAGCTGAAAGACATCTCTTCAGACTCTCATAGAAGAGAAAACCTTTGGCCCCTAATGTCTTCTTCCTTCCACAGGAGGATATTCCTTCTAAAGAACCGTTTCCTTACTGCTCCGCAGTTCAGTTCAAACAAATGTCTTGCACTGGAGCTAGGGTTCAACCCTATAGAAAAGGGTCTTCGGAGGATTTTGCACAAGGACTGAATTTACAATAGTGAATTCACACTAATTATTCCTATAGTGCTTAGAACCCAAGCACTTAACATTTTCTTTGTTAAATATATACATACACCCATATACACATACGCACACAAAGACACACATTGTTGTGATGCATACATAATCACTTAATCACTGTTTAATGAATTACTTACTTTATAAATCAGGCTGTCCACTAAAAGGTTGTGCTGAATCACATTTGATTTAAGCTGTTCATAATATAAGATATCCTAAAATGAAAAATACTGTTATTTTCAGTGCAAGAAAAAAAAAAGTTAAATTTACAATTGAGTTATTAGTTTTCCCCAGTTATTTAAACTGAGGAAGCAAACTGCTAATAAAAGTCAAGAAAAATTACAAATAGACATTCAGCTGAAAAGCCTATTGCATAACTGACGTAGCACCACATCACTGTTTATTCAAGCTTAATTTGTAAGGAACAAGTAGGTATTTCAGTCTTAACAGAATGACATACCCTTCTGTTTATTCATATTTTAGAAAATTAATGATTGAAGTAACTAATTCAGACAAACTATTTGAATTTGAATCTTTCAGTCTTTTAGTTTCTCTGACCCAGAATCTTTCCAATGTTCTTTTTTTTTTTAAAAAAAAAAAAAATTTTCTGCTTTTACATACTTCTTCAGGAACAGGTTTTGTCGCAACTTCCAGCATTAGTGAAGTGCTGTCAGAATTTACCATCTAATCTAGTAGGAATCTCTAGATAGTTTAAACTTGTAAAACACCAAAGTGATAAAAATATCAAAGATCACACGAAAGACAGAGATAAGTCAGACAGCTTTTTAAAACTTCAACTATTTTGAATGTCTACAGAACATGCACTAGGCTGAATCAGTGGGAAAAGAAGAGAAACAAACACTTCTCTGCTTTTATTACATCCCTTTCTTCTTAGGAAGGGCTTGCAAGGAAAAAAAAAATAAATGTCACGCTGTCATCCCACAGTCCCTAAATCCCCAAATAGCTCTCTGCTATTGTGCCAACAAATGAATACTACAGTTCCAAATTGTTTTAGATGGATTTGGGATGATTTATAAACTAAACCAGCAATCCGAAAGGTCCTTCCCACTTCATGGAACTATTTTGACTTCAGTGGGTCTCTACAAACACCACAAAACAGCTTGTGTATTACAGGATTTAAATAATATTTGCTGCTGATTTCTCTTCAGAAGAGGTAAGTCTGTAGGAAGGATTTAAAGAGCAAATGGAAGGAAGATGAAATTTGGAGAGTGCATTATAATGGGAGAGAACAAAAAAAAAAAAAAAAAAGTAGGGCGAGGTTAGGAGACATTCCAACTGTTCTTTGCTCCATTCCAGGACTGAAGTGTGGTAATTACTATGTTTACAAATCTATTAGAATTAATACACTTTTAGACTGTTAATTTGAAATGAGGACAAATATCATACTGTTTATGTATAGACAGCCACCACGGGATTTTTTTTTTCATTTTTCTGAGCGAAAAAAATAAAGGTCACATACACAACACACCATATGTACACAGTCAAGATCTGTGAAGCTCAATTCATTTGCGATCTTATCTCAATCTGAGCTCTTACAATGCTACATATATGCAAAAACACTGTGCACTTAAATTGCTCATATTTAATCAGACCTGAAAGCCAATACCATGGTTATTTTCAATTTTCTACTATGAGATCTAACCCTTAGTTTTTTAATCTGCAACTCAGCAGAAAGCCAGGCAGGTTTGCAGGCTTTGGTGACTTTGCACAATACAGCGTTTTCATTCTTATCTTAAAAATGGTGGTGTGAGGAATTACTGAATTTTATCGAGAAGCCAACTGTGTTGCAGACAGCTTTCCAGGTGCTACTTTTAAAGACCAGTTGGTTTCAGAACCAGGGATGTTTATGAAGAGAGAAGACAACTGCCTAGATATGGTTTTAGTCCACAGAATATTGGAAGCTGGGCTAGGTTTCATGAGAAAGACATTAGACAGCATACTGATCATCCTGTTGCTGCTAAGTAAGCTAAGGTCATCAATAACAATCCCAGCTAATTTGTCTTCTTTTAATTAGAAGGCAAGATGATGGCAGCGATATTAATAATTGCTTCATAACAACAAAATGGATTAAAATATTCTTTACTTTTACAAAATTTACCCCAGCTGTGACAGAACACAAATGAGGCATCAGAAATCCCCACAACTAATGGCACAACAAGAAAAGGGACAAAACTGGGACGTTCTCCTTTCTAAATGACTCCCCATCCATGCTGCAAATTCTCTTCTCCCATGCTGCCTTGACACCAGTTTCTTCTTCAAAACAGTTTTAAATGGTACTAAATAGAGCAACTACCAGTCTCTTCTAAAGTGAGAAAGGAATTCTAGTACCCAATAGTTTCCTATTCTTATCCCTTTACTTTTCATTCTCTTGAAACTCTTTTGAATACTTGTGAGAGGCTGTGAGGAAGCGAGGGAAGAAAGGGATACGAAGGGAAGCAGAAATATTTTGCTAGACAGAGTAAAACACACTCTCAATTAATAGGCAGAAATAAGTTTTCTTAAAATACTCCTATTTGAAGACATAATTTAGCTACACAAGCACAGTTTAATACATCATTGGTCCAGTGTTTTGTACTTAACATTAACCTTCCTGAATTAGCAATTCAGTTACATTTTACATAAGGTACGAGCTTATACAGATTTTCCTGTTACAGTCATTAAAGTCATTATTTTAAAAAGCAAGTAAAACCTAATCATTTATACAGTCCATTGAACTTGCAAACCAGAACAGTTTGATATGGGATGAATTGCTACTACTTTATTCACACTTTAGAACAGACTTCAGTGATGTGATAAGACAGGACTGTGAGTTTACTCGAAGTATGGAGAACAGATTTCTACAAAAGAAAAACAACAAACAAAAGCTTCCTAAAGGATGCCCCACCACACTGACACCATGAATTTAGAGACGAATTTCAGGCAATCCTTTTAAAGGCAGCACACTGAACCATGACTGGAACACTATTAACTTACTTTATTAAAATATTTATTAGCTTCATATACCTTAATTCAACTATGTTATTAATTTGAATGTAAAGAATTAGGTTGATTGCAATTATATATAAATCATGGTTCAGTCTAACCAGTGAACAGCAACCTCCACAGAAGAAAAATAGAAAACTGACGAAAGGAAATAAAATGGAAGAGCTTTCAGCAAAAGAGTGTGGGCCAGAATGACACAGGCATTCAAAACATTTTGCGATATTTTTGTTTGTCTGTTTTAGTAAGGAGCTTAATAGGAAGCTATTAAATAGGAAGCTCAATATAAATCTATTTTTAAGATATGTATATGCATATGATGACAGGCTGGAATTGGCAGGAAAGTAACAGCAAGTCTTGTTACAAAAAAAGCAAAGTTAAGACAGCTTCTATTCTCTTCACGGGTCTTTTATCTTGTCCCTTCTGAAAAAGTCAGCACCATAAGGGAAAATAGCAGGAGCTAGTTGGCTGGTTAAAGCAAGTGAGTAGCTTTGCTCTGCTCGTATGTCGTTTGTGTATCTGTTTAAAAATTCGTGAAGTGCATAAACGCTTCAGCATAGCATTGAGATTTTTTGTACATGTAAATGTGTGTGTTTTTCTTGTAAAATGCCTATCAATTTCTGTGATGACTTAGTAGAGTATTTCTGTTTTGGAAAAAGAGCAGTAGAAAAGATGTGTTGGTATGTTTGTGCTTTCACGTAGCTCCTTACCTCTGGCTGGTTGGAAATGTTCAGAATGAGAGCCCACAGATCAGCCCGGAGCGCGGTTGGACACCCCTGACGAACATACTGCTGAGCCGCAGCACTATCTTGCTCTGCTAAAACTGCAAGAAATGAAGCACCTAATGAGGTAATTTAATACTACCAAAGTCCGTCAAACTATCAAGTTATTTAATTCTTAATTTTATACTCTTTTTAAAACATTCTGTAAATTCAGATATCCTTCGCAGCCTCTGCCAAATCTGCACCAGAAGAACCACTACTCTGTTCTAAACTAGGAAAAAAAAAAAGCTCTGCAGCCAGCATTTCCATATGATTATCTACTAGAAGAGCATAAAAAAATAGAAGAACTAAATATGGTATTATTAACAAATAACCCATTTCACTGGAATTTGATCCACTCCTTTTATTTTGTTTTTCCAAACCCAGATTAGTTTATAGTTTTATGTGCAAACAATGCTTTGGCTAGACTGAGTTAGGCAGCGCTTGTTACACTGAGATAATTCAAACACTTATTTAACAAATAAAGCATATACATGCAGGCATCAAGAAAGCAAGAGAGAAAGATTAGTGGTTTGACTCTTTGGCGGATACCTGAAGTGCAGTTTAGCCCTACATACCTGTAAGGTGACAGTTCAGGAACAGGGCATACAACCTGGTTTACCCTGCTGTAGGCATTAGCTAATGGGAAAACATCTAGGAAGGTCTGGAGGCCACAATGTAATTCCAAAGTAGCTCCCACTCAGTCACAGAAACGCTTATTAGGCACTTTTTATAGACAGGGAGCAAAGAGAACAGTACAGCCACTCAATAGTCCTGTGTTTCGTAACTATGACTAGCTTCTGCTGGTACTGCCTATAAGTGCATTTTGTTTTTTTCTGGAGCGGTCTCCCATTTTCAGAAGGAGATTGCCACTTTTCTTTAATGTCTCCCCCATTTTTACATGAACTATCTAAACATCTTGACCCATCACTGTGGGCAAGAATTTTCCTTTTTGGAGAGTACCATCATGTTTTCCCATCCGTGGTGTACATACTCTGGAGGGCAAAGATTTTCTTTCCCCCCAGACATAAAGCTAATGCTTTATTGCTGGTAGGTTTGCCTAGATGAGTCATTGCAGGCAATTTTTAGTCTCCTCTGTTATAATGGCCTCCTCTTGAATTCAATTACGTGCATATCCTAGATTATTTCATTCCTTGCTTAAACGTATAGTTATAAGGCAAGCATCTTTAGGTATGCTAGTCCAGGAAAAGCGTTGTCATTGATGTGAGATCAACTGTATCCTCATACTTGGATCAGGATGATCCAGAAGATGAGGGAAGGAAGAGCCACCACAGAAACAAGAAAGAAACGCTGTCTTGTTAACACAACAACACAAGGGATGGAAGACTTTGAGGAAGCTATTAAACCTTTTTCTTTCTCGATGGTGATGATTTAGCAGGAATCGCAAGAGACAGTGAGGAACAAATATTGATGGCTTTCAAACATACTTTCCACTATGAGCAAACTTGGGCTAATGAATGCTTATTTCTTTTTCCTTTCATGGATAATTTCTCAACCTACAGGAAAAACAGGAATTTGTTTAGAAAAAAAAGTTGTTTACAGAGACAAATCCATGAATTTTCCATGGTTGCTAAGTATTGCAACATTTATCAAGCTCTGCATTTGCACATAATCATTAAAAAGAATCTGTTCTGATGCACAGGTGTAAAACCCATCACACTAATGAGAACTGTATGTGCAGAGAGGGGAGTGCAGTCTCTTTGCATTTTAAAATGAAATTCAGTAGTGGCATAGGTTAAATTCTCATCAAAAAGTTGTGTGTCTATGCTTCCTATTTTGTTTTTAGTCAATCATCTGTGGAACTATTTATCTGTGCCTACTGGTAGATGGCAAATGCTTCCTTGTCTGTCTTGAATAAATTACAGTGACATTATTCACTATGTTTCCTGCTAGTCAGTATATATGATTGAAATACAAAAGCTACAGGTAATTGAGATATAAAATTACTAAAGGTATTCCTGCTTTCTCGATTTACCACAGACGAAAACAGATCCATACCTTTTTGCCCAACACGTACATGCTCATTTTCAAAGAATTCTAGAAAATAAATAGAAATTAAATGCAAAAATTAAATAAGAAAAGATATATTTGGTATTTTAACTGTGTCACAATGCTCTGCCTATATTTTCTTACACCAGTGTTCCATTAGCAATTTTTATACTTTTTAAGACCTGTTTCTACAGGAATAATGGCTAGGTACGAGAAAAAAAAACAGCAGTTATACATTATATAAAAGAGAATGAATATTAGCATGTGTATTCTTTTTTTTTTTTAAAGACAGTTATTAATAAGATGTTGGATATATGCTGATCTGTGGCAGCAGTGCCATACTGTTGATTTAACATATTTTGATATTTTATGCACTTCTGGGCACAGTCAATTTTGTCCTCCAGATTTGATGCTGAAATATATAAAAACCTGAAATAAGCATAATTTCAACTTAACTTGATAATTTTTAATCTTCAAATCCAACTCTTCATGTTTGCTAAATTATCTAGAATAAGCTATATTTTATCAAGACAATCACTGTTGTCACAGCTACAGAACAAGTATTTATGGTTAATTATGGAAAAAAAATACACAAATTACTTGATAACTGCACAGTATTCTACTCATTAGTGTTCTATTCAAACAAGTGAAGAACAGCATTAGCTAACCAGGAGGCACTTGTGTTGAATCATCAATACCCAGCTGTCCAATATTTAAGCCTAGCTCACTGAAGTCTTCTTTCTGAAAAGAAAGAAAATAATAAAAAGCCACTTTTTTATATAATTCTTTAAGACACTAGAGATTTATTCTGAGAGAGTTAATGTAAATATTTTTAAACCAAATATAGTTACTTTTAATGTATATATGGGAAATTTGAATTTAGGTATTTAGAAAGCGAAAAAGAACATTACACCAATCCTTATCCTAGTTTCAGTTATAGGTCTCAAATTTCAAGTCAATTAGGGACTACACCTGGTGGAAATAAATTGATAAATAAAAGATCAGGTCACACCTCTTATATTTTCTGCTGCTTTCCAGCCCAAATACAAGTTGTCCCATTAACATAAAGTCCTCCAGAACTTTTATCACTTCAAGCTCTCCTATTCTCCATTGTTAATACTGGTACTCAAACATTTCCTCTCATTTACAGCCTAACAGTGAAGGATTTTAGAATACTTCTAGGGAAAACAAAAACCAATTGTCAATTTATTCATTTTGTGCAATGTATAACAAAACAGTAGAATTAATTAACATAAAGTATAACTGAAAGTAAGAGCTCTGTATGATTAAAAATATTTTATATATAGAAATTAGCATTTCACAGAGATAAATATTGACAGTTGTTTCACAGAAAAAAATAAAGTGAAGAAAATGTGCAGATGTGATTTTTTTTTTCCAGAAATTGACAGTGATCTGTGTAGCATAACACAAAAACTTCCCTTCTGGCGGATAATTTACTGGTTATGTTTAAAAAAGATATTTACAATAAAAAAACTTCTTTTTTTCCCCTCTGTCTTTTAACTGCTGACCCCCTATATGTTCATATTGATTTTGATTTCTAAAAGGAGAAACTCAGCTCCATATTAATATACTTTACTAAACTACTCTGTTTAGTACCCTATTAATTAGGCAGGTAAAACAATTCTTTTAGAACAGTCTTGTAAGAAAGAATTACTTACCAATTCTGGAATATCTTTAACTTTTAGAGGAACCTGAATTAGTCCCAGATGATTCCTGAAACTTGGCTGTTCTCCATTTTCATAATTTGGGTTTCGAAGATTCATCAGTACCTTCAAAACAGTAGCTCTGTCATTCTTTGCACATATTCAAAAATTTACATTTATAACCACTCTTAACATCATCTGTATCACAAACTCTGTGTTAGGCATAACACCATCTCCTGCAACCATCGTACACAGGCCCACATCCTATGTCAACATTTTCAAAGCAAAAATAGAGCCAGATTTTCAGGAAGCAGATACATTCTACTTTGAAAAGCAAGTCCACATTAGGACATTTGAAAGCACATATAATTTTTGATATATGGGATTCAGTCCTGTCTGCAGTGAAATGGCTTTACTAAAATAAGCTTCTGAATACCAAGAGTGTACTTCTGATAGCTACAAATTCTAGTATATTCTTTTTTCCTTTTTCTGAAAATCTTCTGAAAAAAAACTGAAATCTCTGAAAGATTTTTTATCCATTTTCTTACACTGGCAATCCTCTGTAGCACTAAGTCAAACTACTATGTAATTTGCTACAAAAATAATTTCTTACCAAATTGCCCCAGAACACCTTCTTTCATTTAAGGAAAAAATGAACAAATAAATAAAACCCAAAATTAAGAATAAAATTTAAGAGAAAATGAACCAGAGCTTTCAGACACATAACTCATATATATAAAAGAATTTACTCTCTCTTACATATTGTTATTCTATGGTTATACATTTTGACTTTACAAAATCAAGCTGACAAGGATCTTTCTAATATTAGCCTCCATTCCTTATGAGATTCTTTTACAACCTCCTATCTCTACAATTCTCAGTCTTATAAGTATTCTAATACGATATAAATTCACCATCAAACTTGTATTTTAAAAGATTAATGTAAGAAATGGCAAACTCTGGAAAGAAAGGAGTATAATAAGAATGCAACTTTGAGGGTCACAGAGCAAGACTAAAATGAAGATGAATTTGCTTGTAGACAAATATACAATTTGGCTATTAGCATAATGATGGAAAAGAGAGTAGATTAAAATTCTCAGATATTATGATAACTAAATAGGACTAACATTCACAATTTATAACCATGAAATAATATATCCTTAAAAGAAGACAGAAATACAATAAATCCCCTCTACGTTACATCAGTCATTCCACTAAACTTGTGGGGGACCACATCTAAAAATTAAAATACATTAATTGCAATTGTTGATTCAGTATTAGGCTTCTAAAGATTATTTTGTATATTAGGAGACTATCTTAGCTCTATAATTCTATACTGTCATTATGTTCCAGACAGATCTGCTTCCTGTATAACTAAAACAGATACATTTTTTAAAATTGTATTTTCAATTTCATTTTAATTCAAATTAACTCCTACAGTTCAAAACATCATCATTAAATTTACTGTAATCAGTAATGATTATTGTCCAACAAATTCTAGATATAACTGGTAAATCAACTTATATTTTAAGACATTTTGAGCTTACACCATAAAAATGACAAGTAACACTGTCATTTCTGACTCCAAAGACTCAGCAACCATGTAACTTTATTTTCCAACAGTTGTGACCACAGACAAAAGTCTCCAAATTCCACTTGCTTGTTTCACTCTTGGTTTGGAACAATCTAAAACTTCTATTGAAAACAGATTTGCTGTCAAGCACCAATATATCAGCTTTACATATTACCATTTATCAGCTTAACATACTGCATTTTAAAATGAATTATGAATAAGTTAGAGAATTGCTTTCAGGCAGAAAAAAAAAGTGAGCTCCAAACTGAACATTCATTAGAGAAAGAGAATATGTACAGTACAGTACCTATTACTGTACTGTAAATATGTACAGTTTAAAACTGCAGTTAAAAAAAAGTCAATTAATAGCTTTTTGTTCATGAATAAACCCGAGAGTCCTAAGAGGAACCCTGCTAAATTTCACTTGCTATAAAGGACAAAAAAAGAAGACGACACAACAGACATGTATTAATTGAGCTTTCTATGATATCATTCCCTGTGCAAGGATCTCTGTCATATCACTCTGGCTTTCTTAGACCAATAGTGATTTGCACTGCTAACCAATCTGCCTAAAACTTACCAATTACTCCTTCCACTTCACCTAAATGGCTATAATGGATCAACTCAATGGCTGGCTCACTGTTTCATGAATACTTACCTCGAGAAAATCTTTAGGTGCATAAACAGGCCGGAAGAGAGTTAGATCTGAAATGAGATTTCAACAATGTTAAAACTAAAATAGATGAAAACCAGGCAACTTTACTGTATCTGTGAGAGCATTTATTATTAATCTCAATAATATATTACTGCAAAGATTAAAATAGCATCATTGCAGATATCACAAATACATCCAGCAGGCATTCTCCAAGGTTATGTTACTGCTGGTCAGCACCTCAGTTCCCTATAATATATGTATTTAACCAGAGAAAGTGTGATATTCAAAAGACTTCTTTTTAACAGGGTGTATTGCTTGCTGGATTAAATGGACTACAGTCAAATAAAAATAGGGAATACTCATAGACAATTCATGAAAAGTATTAGACTTATCTCTTAGTCTATTTCTAAGTCTTATTCTTACCGAATGGGATAGAAATTATTACCTTTGCAAAATCATTTCTCTTGAAAAACTTGGACATTAACCAACTGTGGTTACTCTGCTCTCCCAAAGGATAATATGACTATTCCGTGTGTTATTTCTATCTTTTGTTAACAAAATTACTGAGCAAAACTATCTATAGTGATGAACATTTTTTTCAGTTACTCTGATTTCATAAAAATAGGAGCTCTGTACCAGTTGCATAAATCACTGAAGCACTGGAACGATGAGAATCAGACCTTAATTTCCCAGGGAAGATTCAGTTAGAAAAATGTCTTGAAAATAAAGTAACAATGAAGCAGATATTTACTAATACACAGTCGAGCATTACAAACTAGAAAAAAATAACAGTTTTTCAGCAAAGGGATTATGTTCATTCTTATTGATATCTAAGATGTATTTGTTGATATTGTTTTTCTGTGTATAAGATGCACACAAGTTTAGTTAACCTCACCTGGCTCATCAGTTCCCATTTCATTCCATTTATTAAGCAGCTCTTTCTGTTCACTTGCAGGCCTCTGAAAGGCACAAGAAAGCTCTTCTATGTTAACTGAACAAGTAAAAACATGCTGTTTCAGACACATAAATGAACACAAGCATTTTTAAAAGAGATTGCACTAGCAATGCAAACTTATTTTGCTTACAAATTATCCCTGGTCTGAAGGCATATTATCTCTAACCAAATAAGGGATAGAGTTCAAGGAGGGAAAAAAAGCCACTAAATAGTTTTACATGTTTACTAATGAAATTTTAGGCTATTTACTAGTCAGGTTCATATTAATGAAGCTTTAGTGCCTAATCCCTATAGCTGCTGGATTTTGTCACTAGATTCACCTCTTGTGGCACAGTCATAAAAAGCAAACACATGATAAGAAACCCCAAAACTCCATATAATAATTCATGCTACCTATCATGCTGCCTATTATAGACATACAACAACAGAAATATAAATAACAAAACATTATGTGATTCTGGGATCTTTATAAGTAAACAATCTCTAAATGAATAAAGAAACCAATGTGAAAGGAACGCTAAAATACTCTGTGATGATGTACCAATATTCTTCTCTCCTAAAACGCCAGTTCAGCTTTCGCCTTCTCCAGCAAAGTACATCTATATTATGTACAGACTATGCAGCTAAAAGTTATGTAGCCTGCACAGAAAAATGCTCTAGAAGAAGCAATGAACGTAGCAAGTAATGAAGATAGCAACCTGCTCTCCAATCTCCTGCTCCCTGGAGAGCACAATTACTGCAAGAGAAGAGGAAGATCAACCAAGCCACTCCAGCTTCTCCTGAGTTCAATGTATGCATACACTGTCACTGTCTCAGAAAAATATTCTGTACTAAAATGATTTGGATAACAATCTTGCAGCTCTTGATAACCATGTGCAAAAAGAACAAACAAACTTAATTTCCAAAAATGTCATTTTGGCAAGAGAAAGCTATTAATACATTACCTTCTGTGCTAATGGGATACTGAGTTCTGTGCACATGCTATTTAGACTTTTTAGAATTCGCTTCTCCCAACTTCCCTGAAATATTAAAAAAAAATATATATATAAGCAGTTTTTCAGAGTCATCCTGTAAGAATGCCAATGACTGACATCACCAAAAAGATTAACAAAATGCTTACATGGGTGTTAAAATGTACTTAATAATAAAATGTGATATTTCTCTATACCACACACAAGAACTAGAACAATACAGTTGCAGAGCTGTTCACGTGCCAGATCTCCAAAAAGCACCCATTTTACAATCACTGTCTAATGCTCAAGTTCCCTTGTATGTCAATATCCAGCTTTTTTTTTTTAAGAGAAAAGAAGCACTTTTTTTGAAGAACATATAAGTAATAAGATGGTAATGAACTACAGAGATAAGCAATAAGATGGGCAATGACTTTAGAGACTATCTCCTCCATTATAAGTCCTCCTGCTGGGAAGATATGCTGGATGGTATTGCTTTTCAAATTTTTTGAAAGTCAGGAAGTATGTAATGTCCAAAATAGCATTCAGAAGATAGTTCTCTCATCCAAGAGAAAAATAGAAGTAGGAAATATCTTAACAGCAAGAGAGAAGCCTAAAGAACTAGGTTCTTGAGACTACTGCATTACACTTCACACATTCCATACAGTGCCTGATCTACGGATAATTCCTCTGAAGTTAATACAAACTGGTATTACTCAATTTACCAAAAAAATTGCTCCTATGATTACAGCAACACTGATGAGATTTATATTTAATTTTCTCTGGATGATGAGTCAAGCCCCAACCAGATGAATGCAAAGACTCCAGTTAACTTCATTTAACTCTGTTCTATTTATTACTTGCAATTCGCTCTAGCCACAAATTCTGCAATATTGAGCTGTTGTCTAACCACATGTTCTTAAAGCTCTGTCTGAAAGAGACTGCTGTTTAACAGACAAGAAGCAAATGAAGAGAAGGGCAATTGTTCAAATAGAATGGGAGAAGGAGAGAGAGAGAGGGGAGAGCTACAGAGGGAGCACAGAGAAGGAGGGCAGGAGCTCAGCAAGACTGAGGCCTCCTGTCTCACTCGAGTGAGGGAGGCTCACGCTCCTCGGCAACACTGCCAGAGCAGGGATTAACCTGGGTACTGTGTTGCTGTTTATAGCAGAGCTCTCCTACATCTCCAAAGGCTTTTGCAGTGAAGTCAACGAGTGAAACAGTTAGAGGCTTGCATTTTTTTTTCACCTCATAAAAATACAGATAAGGAGAAAGTGTCAATATTGAAGTATAATGGATTGTGGAAGCGTTCCAATTCACACCAAGCTCTGCTGGGAGTGTAAAACAAATTCACAAAGTTCACATTTTTTAATTCCGGAACCCAACACTAATATTTCTGTCTTTATTAAAAAGTTTTAAGTAACAATTCTGCAGTTTTACAAAGTGGAGAGAGTTAAACTGTGCATCAAAAGTTGTAACCAGGCTGAAGAGATGGTAACTCACAAAATACCAGAGATGTAAAACAATCTGATGCTTGAAAGAGAAGTCCTAAATATTACAGCCAACAGGGAAAAGAGGTGTAGCATTTTTCTGCCTAGAAAAGGTCTAACACATCGTAGACTGAAGTCACTGTACCCACCAATTTACCTCAGCCCAAGAAAAGATCTCAAGAACACAATTAGAAAATACACTGTATGTTACATTAATATTCAAGAATATGCCGATACAAATGGCAGTATTTTTTCTAAACTGAACAATAACACAATTACATGAATAATTTACATCACTATTATTCATTTTCATTAACATTCCACCTATGGACCTCCTTTTCTTTTCCTGAAGAGAATACAGTATGCAAGTCCAGCCTTAACTATGAGAATTTTAATATCTACACTTGAAAAATACAGGGTTTAATTATGGCTCATTCAAAATAATTCCAATAACTGATAAATATAGTTAGCTGGTTTTCAGACAATACAACCCTGCTTTCTGGAATTCAGAACATGAGCAAAATTAATTAAAATAGAAAATGATAAAGAAAATGTCCTAGTTAGTCCTTAACAATGGAAATAGCATCTTACACAGTGTCTGTATATAATAAAAATAAATGCATTGTATATGGAAAACAGAAAAACTTTTTTTTTTTTTTAACCAGGACAAATTTTGTTGACACTATCAAAATATTCTTTTCTAACTGTGATGTTTTGATGTTAAAAGACAAACAAGCTTTAAAAAAAACTACTTACAAACAAAGGAAAAGCAATCTTCTACTGATAAAACATGGATTTCTGATACCTAAACTAGTGAGTTTCCACTTTTAGTTCACTACCAAAACTATTAGCAAACTGTGTATTTTTATTTTAGCTGTTTGCAAATGCTTTAAACAAACAAATCAAACAAAAAAAAAGATAACACTTTGTAAGCATTTTTTTTAAACTGTTTATTGTTCCTTATTCAAAAATTGTAGAAAAATAAAACATAATTGTGGCTAAACCGGCTTATTTAATCTGCTTTCTTATGTGCTCACTACCTATAGTGACAAACTTGGCTTGAAAACAAAAAGCTGACAGTTTTAGGAAAGTGCAATACTAATTCCACATTTATGGATGTTAACTATTTTGCAGCTATCACCATTATCAACAATTCCTTATGAAAAGGACTAGTATTTCTTTATTAAACAGTTGTATTTTGCGAAAGGATTTGAAAGAGGAAATGGATACCTAAGAGCCTAAGAAAATGGACTAAGCAACTTTGAAACACTTTAAGACAAGGCTTTTTCTATCCCTCTCTAATGCACTGGAAAACTTGCCTTTTCTACACTAAAATATCAGACACAGTAAATACTGCATACACTTTTATAAAATAATAACCACTGAAACTGGATGAGAGAAACAAATCTACAGACACCTCTGTTTTCACAGTAGTAAACTGACATGACTGATTATTTGGGGACAGTAAATTGAGGCATTATGTTGCATATAACGGAAGAAAAACTGCTTAATACAATCTTTATCTTCCAAATGCTAAAGATTTAAAGCACAGGACAGCAAGATAAGACCTACTAGAATAAGCAACAATACAACTGAAAAAGTAACACAATTTGTTGAATAACTTTTAAAAGAATATCTCAATATATTTCAAAGCACGACTGACAAACTCAATTTTATTCTTACCTCAGATATTCTGAGGAGAATGCTGATGCATATCCTTGAAGCATTTTTCAAATGGCATTTATTGACAAAACAATAAATCCAACGAAGTAAAAATACTTTTTCCTGACATCAAAATCCTCTTTTAATCTTTTCTAGTCTCTTCTTTTCCCTCTTAAAGTCCTTAAGCTCCTTAACTCTAGATTTTCCTATCCTTTCCCATTTTTAATATTACATATATCTCTGCTTTCCAAATATTCCTCTCTCTGTGCAGCCCATTGTCCTTCATTGTCAAACTGCCCGTATCACTTCAAAATAATTTTCATAACCACAAGTGAAATGACCTATGCTTAGAAGTTTTCCTCTTCCCAACGGAAACGAATTATGTTCCTGGACACATTTCACACTGTCTTTATTCTGCTATATTTACCTACTTACCACCATATCTTACTATAATCATTTTTCTCCCATGGCTGTAAAATTATTTCGACACTTTAAAATATACATGTACGAAATTTCAGTTATTTATATTAGCCTTGATGCATATACAACCACAAAAATTATAATTCTGTTATTTTCCTAATCTCAAAAATCATAGCAGTCTAACCAAAAATCTAATAAAGAAAATTAAAAATGATAACAACCAACCTGTGCTTTCCTCATATAAGCTAATGGCTCTTTCATGTGCTCAGGAGGTGCTGCAGGATGACAGGGTGAAGGAAACCTTAAAGAAAGTTGAGTATATTTTAAATGTTCATCTTTTTATTTTGTTTACTTAATGCCTTATTTGCAAATCTAAAATAATTTCTTTCATTAGGTTACTATAAAAGAACCTTGTGGACAATAATCAAAGCTAAAAATAATAAAATATGCATAATGTTTGAAAGCAATTTTCCCCCCATCCTTTACTATGAGCATACATGTTTGAAGATACAAAAATATGTGAGCCTATTAATAACATTTTTACAAGAGTTGAGTATGCACCCCTACATTATGCCAAAAAACAAAAGATGGAACAATAATGTTTTTTTAAGACTAAATTGCACCCTATTGCTGCAAACTTCTTTCCACATAGTTATTCACAAACTTTTAATCAAACCTAATTTTAACCACCTTGCAAATACACTCCCCAAAAGCCAAAGGGCTCTGAGCTCTGGATCATATCCTACCAAGAGCAGCACTGATCTGTAAGTCTAGAAATCTAAAATCTGAATTTAAGGATCTCTTACTAATTATTACCATAAATACAGGAAATGTGGTCATTAACATATGAAAATAATTAGAATGTATTTACAATAAATATCTCAGTTGCACACAATCACAATATGACTGCCGATACCTTTCATAGTACAATACAATGAAACAAATATGCCAGATAATTTCTTTATGTCTTCAAAATGCATTTGTACACAAAGTTTCGAATAGGATGGAAAAGAAATCACGGTACTTTAAAATCAGAAATGGAGCAGGCACTCTTGGTATGACAGATACGTTTAAGATCTTGCAGTCCGTAGTAACACATCACACTCCTATATAAACACAGAAATTAAATCATGCAAATACAACTTATTTAAGAGAAATACTAAATAAACTCACACGTTGAGTTCACTATAAACTGCATTCTGAAGTTTCTTTTCCCAACCTGTTAAAATAAAAAAATCCAGCAGACAGTTCAGTTTTACTGAACTAATACATGTTAAAATAGGTTACTTGGAACACAAACTAAAGTTTGTTTGTTTGTTTATTTTAGGGGCTGTAATCTGCTGTCCTGTTTCAATTTTATATTTACCTAGTGGACAGACAAGAAGAAACCTAATTAACGTAGGAAAAACAAAACAAAAAAAATCCTGTCATGTGTATAAAGGTTGAGTATCTTTTAATTCTGTCCACTATTTAAATAATTAAAAAACAGCTTTGATTATATTATATTTTTCAGAACCATCATATTACTAACCCAACCATTAATAGACACAGGTTGTTTATGGTGGTTATGAATCTTTGAGCACTAAATATAGACATTTTAGAGTTATATAGCCCACAACTTCCCTGGAAAAAATGGAAGCTTCACTAAAGGTAAAATTTTTAAGAGTACCTCCTTGACACAGAAAGCTAATTTCCATTTTAAAATACAGGATCTTAATCTTATAAAGTGATTAAAATCACTTCTTTACAAGATATGGTTTTCAACATGTTGCTGGATTCTAAGAGCATTTTCCCCGTTGTTTTTCTCTATCCTGACTTTATAAAGTACACAGAGATATTATCTGTATTTTGATATTGCCTCACACAACTCGAAATTAACTCATAATCTCCAAGATGAAGGTGACATTTTAAAATTTTTGAAGTAGATTTTTCACAACACATCTCAAATAATAGCAATTAATGTTTGTTAAGTTTCACACACAATGAGGCATCTTGCTGAAAAAAATATTACGTCTCAGTTGCTCAAACCGATAGTAGGTTTAATTATTTAATTCCACTAGATTTAATGGAAACTGTAGCCTACAATCCTTCTTCTATGGGACCAATTCACATAAAAGAACAAGAAAAACCATTAAGTGAAGCAGAAGATAAGTCATATTCAAAATTATAAAATTGTGACAGCGTTATAAAATGACATCTTCTCCATCTATTAAATGCAAAAGCCAGTAAGAAACTATCTTAGTCCTCTGTCAGGATTACATTTACAAATATTGATTTTAAATTGCACATGTGTACACTTAATTGTGGTTAATCATGCCATCTTTGCATTTAAAAACATTATAAATTTTACCTTCAGTGGATATTTTAAACATAACCAATGGAAGCTATCTGAGTTTGCCAATTTTTCTAAATTTGTGGGATATGCACTGAAATACATGTACTCCATAATCTGGAATTACTGGATGTCAGCCTCTGCCTGCTGTCAGTGTCAAGATACTGAGCTATGCAAACTACTGTTTTGACCATGAATATCACTTATGTTATTAGAAAGATCTACAATTATATATGATAGTATCGATTCCTCGTAATCACTATTGAAATTAGGTATTACAAACCTGACACCTTCAGAAAATCCTTTATGTCTTCTTTCAGTGATTCTAGCTTAATTTCTGGCTTGTGTAGGCTAATCTAATATTAAAAATAAACATCAAAAATTATAAATATTAATAAATTAAAATATTAATATCAAGTATAACAATAATTATCACAATATGCTTAAAATAACAACAAAACCATTAATAAAAGTAAATGAATAAGCATCAAGAAAGCACCAAAAACAAATTGCATTCTAAGTTATGAAATAAGAAACACACAGGATTATTATTACACACACAAAAAGCAAATTGTTTCATATTACCTTGAAGGTAGTAACTGCAGCCATAAAAAGAGCCAACAGTTTCCTCACTAGATGCCATTGGTTTTATACCAGCGATAAAAGCTGAAAGGGAGGAAAGGTGGAGAGGAAGGGAGGGGGAGTAGCTGGTGGCAGATAATGCTTAATATTCTGAGCAAGCACCCCACATCCTTGGCACAAATGCCAGACTTCACACTTCACGATTCAGACAAATACTTACAAGTCATTCACTGTATCCCCCACTGAAAACGTTCCATAATTTCTCAACCTCCCACAGTTCACCCTTGCAAGTCCTATTGCCTGATCATGGCCTGTCAGCCTGAGGTGACTTTTTTTTTCCTCCTGCAAGGCACTGGTTTTGTACCCTTTTCTGTATGAGTTCTAAATAAAGTAGTATTTTGAACTGGACAGGTAATGTCTTACTTTCCCAGAAAGACTTTTGTGCACGGGGTTGTGACTGTTGAACTTTGTCTTTTCAGGTAAACAGGGCTAATTTTAATGCCAAGGGCATGTGCTCCATTAATCCCTTACAGGAACGCAAGAGAAAACCTCACAAATGCAACTCACTGGCAGATGATGAACCACAGCAACAAAAAAAGCTTTATGATCCAGTAGAAAGCGCTTTATTGCCTTTAATGAAGGCAACGTACAAGACATGACAAAAGTGCTGAGATGCGGACAGTGCTTTCACTCTCTGCAGTTCACACTTTTGTAAAATCTGGAATTTTTTGGCTCACTGAGGAGGGTCTGGCACTGATGTCCTTTTCTTGTCGTGGCTTCCTGGAAAGGCCAGGAACTGCCCTGGCACCATATTGGACTGGAGGGATAGAAGAGGACGAGGCATGCAGAGAGTGGCACCATTGCCACTGTCAGAGCAAAAGATGCAAGACAGGAGTGTCCTGTGAACGGCCAATCGCAACAGAACATGTTGCCTAAACTGCAGAACAAAAAAAAGAGCAGTGAAACCTCAGAATGCAGCAAGAAGGGTCTCAAAAGGAGAGTAGGAGCACGCTTGTGGCAGCGCAGTCTCCAGGGATGAGGTTAGCTCATCACCTCTACCACTTACCTCCACGTCTTTATATCCACTTAGTTAGTTCTATTTCATTACCGCTAGCTCTGCTGCAGAAAAAAATATTAAGTACTTTGGCAGGGTTTCTGTGTTGTAAACCACTTTATACAATGCACTGACAAGGTATAGTTTGCATTTTCATTCATTCTTTTGTAGCATGAAGAACATGTTGCCAAAATTTTATTTATGTAAAAAGCATCACTAAGATTTATACCAATAAAAATGCCTTGCTAAAAGTCTTTTGGGAAACAACACTTTGATGAGATTTGTCCTGATGAACGGAATTAATTTCCTTCATGATTGAATGGTGCACAAGCACAACTGCAGATTTCAATTTCAAGATGTGCATCTTGATGAAAGGGGTATTTTTTCCTTAATCTGATACTATCAGGAGCCTATTGCAAGCAGGGTAAGAGGGAGTAAGCAATAGAAGGGAACAACCCACGAAGGGTCAGGAAGACACCCTGATGAGAAATCCTGGCTCAGTCAGGGCAAGACAGAATCCTAAAAGGATAGGGATTAATTAAGCAATAACTAATTTTTTTTTAATAAATGCTTATGTTTAACAGTTGCCTTTGCAGCATGAATATTCTTATAGAACCCACCAGGGTTCATGAGTTGGGTGTACAAGTTGAAACAGTTTCAAGACTTCCAGAACTCTGCCAAGCCTTCTCAAAGTTGGCTAAGGGACTGCTAGCAATCCTTTGTACTTATATTCTGTGTCAATCGTCTTCATTTTTAACTTTGTTAAGGAAACCTGCTGTACCGTGGGCAGTCACTATTATGAGTGATACTCTACAGATATGGCGGTTTCTGTATTTGCTTCCCAAGAGGGAAGGAAATCTAGAGAATCCAGGCTGAAAGCAAGCAAAGGGATGGCACAGAGCTAGTTTGAAGTGCTCCAAACATACTGATGTGAACTGCTTCAAGTAAACACACCTTCTGTTTTGATGCAAACAGTCCTACATATAATTTTATATAACCAATATATTTTTAAAGGCTATCTGCCATCCTCCCGTTGGTTCTTTATTTTTATTTTGTATTTTTGTGATAAGTGTGTACATTGTCACTGCATTTGACACTGTTCATTCTGCATGAGTACCCAATAGTTTTAGCTTTTATTTCTGTTATTTCCCAAATCAAAATAAAGCACACTACCCTGAATATAGTCCTAGCTCAATAAAACTAAGCTCAATGAAAGACGAAAAATATGTACCTTGTTTTCATAAACTCCATGGTACCACAGCTGGATTTCAGCTATGTCGAAGGTGCTTCCATCACAACTGCTTTGACACTGACGCTCCCTAAATGCTTAATTTAAAGTCCTACAAATAGGAGGGAGTGTTTCTGGCTTCATTGTATACATTCCTTTACAGAGAGATGAATAATTCGGAGCAGAACTAAACAAAGTTCAGTAAGTGTAAAACTTCAATTATGTTGGCATTTTTCCAGCACTTGTGCAGTTCTACAGGAATTACACTAAGGGGAAAAGTATTGTGAACTTTCTTACAGAAGTAAAAATAATCTAGCATTTGAAGCAAAAAGTTTATAATTAGTCTCAGAGAGGAGTAAACAATTTTAACCGTGATATTCTCCCACAGGATAAGAGACATATGCTTTAATAATAACATTTTGATGTTTCAATCATCTTCCTAAGCTTTATTTAACTATAATATTAATCTTGCAAATAAGCTACACACATGCAAGGTGAAACATATAAATTCCCCATTACTAGATCATCTGTAAATCGAATTTGCATTGCTTCTGAACTCCCTAATCTGCTCAATGTATTCTCAGCTTCATGCAATTGAAAATTCACTCTGCTGCAAATGGTTCTGCAAAGCCATTTAGACCAGAGCAGGAGCCCTATCAGAAGGGGACAGTAAGTCTATTGTTAAACACAACACGTGAATAAGAATTGTTAATTATCTGTCATGAATCCTTGAGCCTACCTTTGACTCCATGAGCCTACCTTTATTTGCTAAATTATATTAAATAAATGTTACCTTTTGCAGAATTGTAAATTTCATCTTTTATTTAAATGAAGATTAGTATCAATTCCTTTTTTTCTCTGTTGAAGAAAAATGTCATGGAAGTAACATCCTCAGCTATCCCACACTCCGTTCAGTCTGTTCTACACAAATTACTACAAGATGTTTACCTGCCCTCCCTTTAGAAATACATATTCAACAAGCATCGTTCCTAGTGATGCCACATAAGGGTTGAAAACCCC